TTTTTTTTTTTTTGTACCAGGGATTGAACTCGGGTCCTTGCGCTTGTGCAACAGGCGGCGAAACCACTGAGCTAAATCCCCGGCCCTTCTTGGTATACTTTAGACTCTAAGAACTTTATGGAGGGGGATCATGGTCCCATGCAAGACATATCCTGATACACAGCCAGCCATGGCAACCAAAACTTAAGTCTTCAACAGTGAAACCAGGTGTGTGAACATCATAAATCCTGATGTTTGTACAAAGCAATCTGACAAGCTGGCACAATATGGTCCATTGCTCTAGGTGTGGATGGCAAAATCATCAATCACTGACGTTAAAAACAATAACAACAAAAAAACCTAAGGGCCATTTTCCCAGGAGTGGGCTGAGCATTAATCATGCTTCTATGTTCCCTTGAAGACAGGAAAGAATCAGCAATGAGATCCTCTATTTCAACTCTTTTCTCATAAAATGACTAACCAGGAATATAGGGAACAGGGAAAGGGGACGTTACTAGAACGTCTGCAGTAAGTCCTAGTCTCCTGCGAGCCACGGCAGCACAAGGTGAATTACAAGAAAGGTAGGAAAATGAGACTGAGAAGAAGCTGAGCTTTGGGTCTGATCAGTGCTGCTCTGGGCAGCAAAGACAAAAAGCCCCAGTTTACCGCACCTTTTATTCAGTACATCGGGAGAAACAAATGTAACAAATGACTCCGGACAGAGAGTTCAGTACATTGGGATAAACAAGGTGTAACAATCCAAGAACAATGAGAAACTGAGTAGATAAAGATTTTGTTCCTCCAAGGATGTCTTCAACTGGTGTAATCTTGTCCTGGAGAATCACAACATCACCAGATCATTGAGGTCTCAGTTGTGACCAGAGGCCAAAATGGAATTATGTCTCAGAATGCCATAGCTGGGCTATAGGCAGGAGAACTAGGCTAACCGAATGATTTTTCCCTAAAATTATGTAGCATTGCTCCCAACACAGGAAGGGGACCAAGAGGTGGAAGGCAAGGTGATAGAGGTCAAGTGAAAGGGACATCAAAAGAATCAAGGTGTGTTATGTGCCTGGTGTGGTGGAGCACACCTGTGATCCTAGCACTGCAGAGGCTGAGGCAGGGGGATCACCACAAGTTTGAGGCCAACCTGGGCTACATAGTGAGTTCAAGGCCAGCCTGAACTATATAATGAGACCTGCATCTCAAAAAAAAAAAAAAATAGAAAAAAAAATTTAAAAACCAAAATGACTATTTTTCCTAAGTACCTTCATGTAAGCCATCTCTTCCTCAGTGATTTGAGACACTACCTTTATCTTACACTGAAGTCCCATGCGTACCTTCATCTATTTCTGGATGTTTCTAATCTATTTCTGGTTTGTCTGTTTACTCGTGGAGCAGTACACACAAGGTTTTCATTAGAAAGTCTTTACAGTGTATCAGGCACGGTGAATACACCTGTAATCCCATCACTCAGGAGCCAGAGGCTGCAAATTCAAGGCCAACTGGGCTGCCTCAGTTATTCAAGGTCAGCCCGGACCATGTAGCACTTTCCTAGCTGTTTCTTAAAATTAGCACGTTTTCCATGCATAATGATTACATTCATCGTGGAGAGTTGGTACAGGTACACATCTTAGTTCCTTTTACTTCCCCCGGCCCTCTGCTTTTACCCCCTTCCTCCATCTTGTGGGCTCCTTCCCGTTTACAAAGGAAGAGGAACAGCTAGATTGAATGGTAATTTTAGTTTTAGTTTTTTGAGGAATTTTCATACTGATTTCCATAGTGTTTGTACCAGTTTACACTCCTATCAACAATGTAGGAGGGTTACCTTTTCCCCTCGGCCTCTTCAGCGTTTGTTATTGTTCAATTTCTTGATAATAGCCATTTTTTCTGGAGTAAGGTGGAATCTCAGTATTGTTTTAATTTGCATTTTCTAATGACCAGAGATGTTGAACATTTTTTTGGAATATTTTTTCCATACATTTATTGGTCATTTGTACTTCTTCTGAGAAGTGTCTATTCATTCCAGTTACTTGTTTTTTAATTGAGTCTCTTATTTTTTGGGGGGGGGTCTAATTTTTTTGAGTTCTTTGTAAATTCTAGATATCAGTCCTCTGTTCAAGGAGTAGATGGCAATGTTTTTTCCTGTCAAACATCTTCCCCTTCTGTAGGTTGTCTCTTCACTCTGTTGGTTGTTTCATTTGTTGAGTAGAAGCTTTTTAATTTGATGTAATCCCATTTTTGATCCTTGATATTATTTCTCATGTAATTGGAGTTCTGCTTAGAATTCTTGGCTTTTTAAAAATTTATTTATTTTTTTTGTACCGGGGATTGAACTCGGCTCCTTGTGCTTGCGCAGCAGGCAGCAAAACCACTGAGCTAAATCCCCGGCCCCGAGGCTTTTTTTTTCAAAGACAGAGTCTCATTATGTAGTTCAGGCTCTCCTTGAACTCACTATGCACCCCAAGCTGGCCTCAAATTCATGGTGATCTTCCTGCCTCAACCTCCCAAGTGCTAGGATTACAGGCCTGCACCACCACACCCAGTATAGATTAGTTTTTGAATAATGGTAGATGTTAAAACATTAAGAAGTTAGAAAGTATAATTTTAGCTACCATAATTATTTTTTTTCCTAAAATTCTTATTGATACATTTTAGGTATACAATACGTTTACATTCATCATTGGGTACTTGTACCTGTACATGATATATCTTGGTTCTTATTTTTTCCCCATTACCTGTGTGCCCTTCCCCCCCTCCACCATTTCCTTTAGATACAATTTGTTTTCATTTTTTTCTTTTCTCATAATTTTTCCTTTCCCTTCTTTCCTTTCCCCTTCCCCTCCCACCACCCCTATCCCTTTGGACCTTTTCTTCCTATTTCAAATTATCAATTATTCATTTTAATCATTTTAACCCTTATTTACACTTTCAGTTTCTCACACTAGAGAAACTATTCAGTATTTACACATGTGTCCTATTTATTTCACTTAATAGTTTGACCTCCATATGCATCCTTTTAGCTGTAAATGACTCTAGTTTTTCATGCTTTATGGCTGAGTAGTACTCCATTTTATTAAAAAATCACATCTTTATCCAGTCTCCAGTTGATGGGCACTTGGGCTGTTTCCAAGCTTTAGCTATTACAAACTGTGCCGCTGTAAACATGGGTGCACATATATCGCTGTGGTATGATTCTTTCAATTCTTTTGGGAAGATCCCCAGCAGGGGAATAGCTGGGTCAAATGGGACCTCTAGTCCTAGTTCTTTGAGGTATCTCCATACTGATTTCCACAATATCTACCATAATTATGATGGGGCTCCTAAATACTTAGCTCTTTTAATCTTATGTGCATAGGTGTCTCTCTTTCTCTCTTTTTTTTTTTTTTTTTTTTTTTAAAAACCAGAGTTTGAACTCAGGACCTTGCACTTATGAGGCAGGTATGGTGTCACTGAGCTAAATCCCGGGCCCTAGGTGTGTCTCTCTCAATGTCTCTCCCCCTTCTACCATCCTCTTTGAATAACGTAGTCTAGTTCTCCTTCCCACTCCCCTGGAACCTGCGTTGCTGCACGTAGGAGACATTGTTTTCTTCTCAGTCTTGGCCAGACTTTGTGACTGCAGAGGGACAGGTGTGGCCTGGTCCCAGAGTAGAGAGGTCTGTGCAGTCTGCTTCAGTTTTTCCCAACTGAGCAAAGCAATTTCATTGCCTCAACAATTTCCTAAGAAGGAGCTACACCACTCCCAAATTAATTTTAATTTCATTCACTAACAACATATTCTTCTCTCAAATGTGACTTTGCCACCAGCAGTATTATACAAAGGAGAATTTGACTTCTGAAAACTGGCTTGCAGACATTCTGACAGTATCAGACATTATTTTAGACAGCAAGTTATGTAAACCAACTCCAAACCTCTCTCCAGTTAAAACTGGGGAGCCAGGCATGGTGGTGCACACCTGTAATCCCAGCACTCAGGAGGCGAAGCAGGAGGATCACTGAGAGTTTGAGGCCAGCCTGGGCTGTACAGTGAGTGCCAGGCCAGCCTGAACTACGCAGCAAGACCCTGTCTCAAAAAACCAAAATAAGGGGCCGGGGATTTAGCTCAGTGGTTCCGCCACCTGCCTCTCAAGCACAAGGACCAGAGTTCAATCCCCGGCACCAAAAAAAAAAAAAAAAATCAAAATAAGGGGCTGGGGATTTAGCTCAGTGGTGCCGCTGCCTGCCTCAAAAGCACAAGGGCCTGAGTTCGATACCTGGTACCCCCCCCAAATAAATAAATAAATAAAATTGGGGAATGGGATGAGGGTGGGGTGTTGGCAGGTAGGTCTCAGTTCCTGCTAAAGAGGACCCTCAATAAATATGTGTTGCAAAATGTAATTAACTTCTCATTGTGTGATGGAGTATCAGACCCTCAATAAATATTTGTTGCAATAAACATAATTAACTTGTCATTATATGATGGAGTATCACAGATGGTCTTCGAATAGAGGTTCCAGCCTGTAGCGATAATTCCTCAAAATAAGTAAACTTAAATATTTCAAAATAGGAACTTAATACTTCCTAAAGGAAGTAAACACGTAAATTTGCCACACAAGAAACACATAATGGGTTCTCAAAATGAAACCGTCATTTTCGTAGTACGACATCACATTACACCTAGTTCGGGGTCTATGAGCAAGCTGTTGCAAAAAGAATATTGTTGCCTGAAACAGTAGCGACTTAGTCACTTTTGAAAGTTGGTGAAGAGCCTCAAATCTCTCAGAGGGTGATGTTCCTTTAAGGTGTGGCCGACCAGCCACGCCCCCTCAGCTGCGCCTTGGCCTAGGTGAACCATATTTCCCAGCGGCCCCTGCGGGGCTCTGCGCCTGCGCACTGGCGGTGACGGGGCTGGCGGAACTCCCGCGCTCTCCAGTCGCCTGGCCGCGCCCGGTGCCGCCCCGGCATGGAGGGGGTCAATTTGGGGCCGGTCGGCCACGCGGACGCCAACGAGGCCGAGGGCGCCGCCGCCCCGTCGCCCCCGCCGCCGGCCTCCCCTCCTGCCCTCGTCCGGGCGCCCGCCGCGGGTGAGGACGGCCCGGCCCCTCAGCCTGAGGCGGGAGCACCCGGCTGCTCCGGCGCCCGCCCCCCCGAGCTGCTGCCCGAGCGCTGCCTGGGCCGCTTGAAAGGTCGCTTCGAGGAGGACGACGAGGAGCTGGAGGATGAGGAGCTCGAGGAGGAGGAGGAAGAGGAGGAGGAAGAAATGAGCCATTTCTCGCTGAGGCTGGAGGGGGGCCGGCCGGACTCGGAGGACGAGGACGAGGACGAGGAGGTACGGCCCTGCGAAACGGCGCGGCCCGCGCGGCCACCGGGCTTCGTCCCGGCCCTCCGTCCCGAGGCCGCCTTCGGAGGCTCCCGAGCTCTCGCCCCTCCCGGGAGTAGTGCCGAGGCCGAGGCGCCTCGGCACGGAGCCCCTGCTCTCCCAGAGGCCACTGTCGGAGGGGAAATCGTCACTTTCTGCGGGACGGTGAGGGGGAGAAAGCGTCCCCGCCTCCTCATTCTCTCATTGGAGAGGGTGATCTCAGACGCAGTAGCTCACTTGTTAGCTAATAGATGGAAAGTTTGCCCACTTTGTAAGAAAGATACCCCTGGTTGTCAGTATACAGTATAGCCAAGAGAACCCACTCCTTTTGAAACAGTGCTTTACATTTGCATCATTGTAACTTTCAGCCGCGTTTTGAAAGGTGGGAGGTGTGTTTCCATGTTGTAACCAAGATATACACATTGTAATGCAGTCTTGCGGTTATGGTTTGGTTGTTTGTTTATGGTTTTGGTTTTGTTCTGAAACGGTGTGCTGTATTGCCCAAGCTGATCTGCAACTCTTCAGCTGAAGCAATCCTGCCTCAGTCTCTGAAGTAGCTGGGACTGCAGGCAAGGGCCATTGCGTCCAGCTGATTTAAGAATTTGAGAAGGCAAAGGTTTGTATTTTAAAACTACTTCTATTGCATTTGCAGCGCCTGATTAATCTCACCGAGCTGACCCCATACATCCTGTGTTCCATTTGCAAGGGTTACCTAATAGATGCAACTACCATTACAGAATGCCTTCATACCTGTAAGTATATGGTTCATATTTCTGAATAAAATGTCCAATTTTTGAAATATCTTTAAAGCATTCTAATGTTAAACATTTTCTTTTTCAACAGTTTGTAAAAGCTGCATTGTAAGACATTTTTACTATAGCAACAGATGTCCAAAATGCAACATAGTAGTACATCAGACACAACCTCTTTATAACATAAGGTAAAAAGAATACAAAGTAACAATCATTTTAAGTATGGTTTTTCGGAAAGCTTGATGTTGTGTATTTAGGAATAAATTCTTGGTCTCCTTCAAAATTAGAAGAGAACTACATATTCCTTTAGGAAATGCATGTAGAGCACTTACTATGTACTAAGCACTGTGATATCTGCTGGGGATTTAAAAATAAAGAAAAATAAACAGAGGCCTCTTTTCTTGGGGATTTTAATCCTATCACACAAATTCATTAACTTGTTTAGGCTTGTAATTTTTATTATATATTCAGAAGTTCTTTACTTTTATTTATACTTTTTTTTACCAGGAATCAAACTCAGGGCCTTGCTTTGCCAGGCGGGTGCTACACTGCCAAGCTACATCCCTGGGCCTCAGAAGTTCTTTTATAAATAATACCTGAAGGGCCGGGGATTTAGCTCAGTGGTTCCACCACCTGCTTTGGAAGCGCAAGGTCCTGAGTTCAATCCCCGGTACCAAAAAAAGAGAATTTGTATGACATGGCTGTGAGTAACAGGAGCTCAAAGCAACTCAGCTCTGAGAAAGGAGATGCCCTCTCCCAGCGGGAGACCATGTTAACTCTGTACCAAAATGCATTTTTCTGAATTCTGAGGTATTTTCCATCCCTTCCTTTTATTAGGTTGGACCGACAGTTGCAAGACATAGTGTACAAATTAGTGATCAATCTAGAGGAAAGTAAGTTTCTTTTATTATGTAGTTGTGAATCCCAGCGTCTCTGACACAGCTAGTTACATTTTAAGTGTAATTTAGTCTGTTTTATCATTTTTTAGGAGAGAAAAAGCAAATGCATGATTTCTATAAAGAAAGAGGTCTAGAAGTACCTAAACCTGGTAAGTTTGGGTGTATACCATAATGTGTTTATAGATTAAACAACACTAACTTAATAAAGTTCTTGTCCTTTGAAGTTCTTTTTGGCAATAGCTAGTTATATGAGCAAAGAGAAAAATATTTTGAAGGTTATGCTGTGGTGTAACCTAATTTGATTTTCTGTAAGAATTAAGGGGTATAAGGTCTAGAGCTGAATTTTCTGAGTTTGTTTCTAGTTCTGCCACTTTACTAGATGACTTTAGCAAATTACTTCAATGTCTGTTTCCTCATCTTTAAAATAGCGATAATAATGGCACTTCATTAAAAAAATACTTTGAGTAGTACAAGTACTTAAAACAGTGCCTGACACATAGTAACTGCTCAAACATTATTTTTTATGATGCTAGTAGTGTCACAATTTTCAAGTCAGATAGATTTGGGTTTACATTTTGATTCTTCCCCTACCTGGTAATCCTAGGCAAGATATTTAATCTGCTAAGCCTCAGTTTATTAGTTTTTTTTGTTTTTGTTTTTCTTTTGGTACCGGGAATTGAACTTGGGACCTTATGCTTGCGAGGCAGGCAGCAGAACCACTGAGCTAAATCCCCGGCCCAAGTTTATTAGTTTTTTTAAAAGTAGCGGTAGTACATATATTTTAGGAGTATAAGAATTAAATGAGGGCCAGGAATTTAGCTTGGTGGTGCTGCTGCCCCCCTAGCAAGCTCAAAGTCCTGAATTCCATCCCAGGTACCAAAAACAAACAAAAAAGAATTAAATGAGCACTGGGAGTGGTGATAGGTACATGCCTGTAATCCCAGCACTTGGGAGGCCAAGGCAAGAGGGTTGTACAAGTTCAAGGCCAGTTTAAACTTCCTAGTTGAGACCCTGTCTCAAAAAAATAAAATAAAAAGTAAAATAAAATAAAATTTTAAAAGAATTAAATGAGATGATGTATGTAGAGTGCTGAGCATAAGCCCTGGCGTATAATAGAAACCGTTGTCTACAAGTATTATTGCTGTTCTGACAAGCTCTCTGTGGCCCTAATACACTGGCCGCACATGTCTGCCTTGCATTGTGAGTGGTCCCTGAACTTGTCACTCATGTCACTGCCTTTGACAGATGAGCTGCTGTTATTAATGAAAGGGAACTTTTTGTTAACATGTAAAATCTGTGTAATTATTTTCTCAAAGAACTCAATCTATGAAATTTTTATCCTAAATCAACTTTTTTGTTTGCTATAAAATAGCTGTGCCACAGACAGCCCCTTCAAACAAAGGAAGAACTAAGAAAGTCCTAGAATCAGTGTTTCGTATTCCACCTGAACTAGATATGTCTTTATTACTGGAATTCATTGGGTGAGTACCCTAAAAAATCTACTTTTTAAACTTAATGTAAAGTTTTTTCTATGTAGTTGAGGCTAGTCTAGAGCTTACTGTGTAGCCCTGGCTGGCCTCCAACTCACAGCATTCTGTACACCACCATACCTGGCCATAAAGAATTTTTTAAGTCCAAACAATTCTAAAATCATCTTGAACTCAGTTAAAATCAAGTATTTTGTGGGCCAGGGATTTAGCTCAGTGGTTTCGCCAACTGCTGCCCAAGCGCAAGGACCCAAGTTTGATCCCCAGTACCAAAAACAAAAAAAAATCAAGTATTTTGTGACGTCCTTTTAAAAATTAGTTATGGAGGGCCAGGGATTTAGCTCAGTGGTCCCGGTGTCTGCCTCGAAAGCACAAGGTCCTGAGTTCCATCCCTGATACCAAAAAAAAAAAAAAAAATTAGTTATGGAGGGCCGGGGATGTAGCTCAGTGGCACTGCACATGCCTTGCAAGCACGAGGTCCTGAGTTCAATCCTCAGTACCAAAAAAAAACAACAAAAAAATTAATTATGGAATATATATGATTTTTATTTTTAAGACAGGATCTTGCCATGTTTTCCAGGCTGGCCTCAAACTTGTTATCCTCTTGCCTTTCTCCTGAGTAGCTGGGGTTATAGGTGTGCCAGGCATGTACTGTAGCACCTGGCTGACTTAAATTTTAATAAGAAGAGTTCATTAAAAATTGAAAATTGGCCGGGGATTTAGCTCAGTGGTTTCACTGCGTGCTGTGCAAGCGCAAGGACCGGAGTTCGATCCCCAGTACTAAAAAAAAAAAATTGAAAATTGAAGCCAGGTGTGGTGGTGCATGCCTGTAATCCCAGCTCTTGAGAGGGTGAGGGAGGAGGATCACTGCAAGTTCAAGGCCACCCTGAACTACATAATGAGACCTTGTCTCAGACCACCAAAACAAAAAAAAAATTATTTTGAACCAAAAACAATTTTGGAAGGGAAGATACTTGAGTCTGGAGGATTGCAAGTTTGAGGCCCTGGGCAACCTAGCAAAACCCTGTTTCAAAAAAAAAAAAAGTGTAGATCTAGCTCAGTGGTAGAATGCCCTGGGTCAACCCCAGTACTACAGGGAAAAGAAAGTTATTTTTGAGGAAATTAGTATTTTTCTCTAGTGCACAGGAGGAACTTGGAATTTTTGTTGTTGTTTTGTTTTATTTTGTTTTTGAGACAGGGTTTTGCTTTGTAGCCCATGCTGGCCTTGAATTCACAAACCTCCTGCCTCAGCCTCCTGAGTGGTAGGATTACAGATGTGTACCACCACACCTGGTTGAAATCAGTTTTGGGTACCTTTTTTAAAAAAGTATAGAGGGCCGGGGATTTAGCTCAGTGGTTTTGTCGCCTGCTGCGCAAGCACAAGGACCTGAGTTCAATCTCCGGTACCAAAAACTAAAATAAAATAAAATAAAATAAAATTTAAAAAGTATAGGGCCAGGGATTTAGCTCAGTGGTACTGTGCCTGCTTCACAAGTGCAAGGTCCTGAGTTTGATCCCTGGTACCAAAAAAACCAAAACAAATAAAAAAAAGGATACCGCAGGGCTGGGGAGGTGGCACAGTGCCTGCCTGGCAAGTGCAAGGTCTTCAGTTTGATCCTTGGTTTTGCAAAAAAAAAAAAAAAATGTATACCACAAAAGTCATACTACTGGGGTAACCTATAGGAAGGTTTTTCATGACAGGAGAAATGGCAGGTGAATTTTAGTTTAATGCAAATACAAGGGCAAATTTAATCTAACTGGTAACCCTGTTTGAATTGGAAGAGGAAAACTACTGAGGTAGGTTCAGTCTGTGCACAGTAATTTTTCAATTGGTAGAATATAAAACTTGATTTCCCCCCTAAATTGAGTATACGTGACTTATGACAATGTCTTACCCTTTTTTGTTCTTTGGTTTCTAAGTGTAAAGTAGATTATAAAAACAAATAATCTAAACCAGCGGCACATACCTGTGATTCCAGCATTCTGGGAGGCTGAGGCAGGAGGTCACAAGTTCAACCCCAGCCTGGGCAGGTTAACAATTTAGGGAGACTCTGTCTCAAAATGCAAAGTCAAAAAAGGGCTGGAGATGTAGCTCAGTGAAAAAATCCTGGATTAAACCCCCAATACTGGGGGGAAAAGAATCTAATGTAGTACAGTATAGCATATACAAAGGCCAAGAAACAATAAGACACTGTAGCATGTAGAAAGAGCTTAGTTTGCTTTTGTTTTGGTTTGTGTTCTTTTTGGTTTTGTTTGTTTTTTGGTGCCGGGGATTGAACTCAGGTCCTTGCACTTTTGAGGTAGCAGAACCACTGAGCTAGATCCCTGGCCCTCGTTTGTGTTTTTGAGTCAGAGTCTCATTGAGTTGCCCAATCTGGCCTTGAACTTGCAGTCCTCCTGCCTCAGCTCCAAGAGTGCTGGGATTACAGGTGTGCCCCACCACACTAGTAAATTTTTAAGGAGTCTAATTCGAGATATGTGACTTTTGGGATATAACTTTTCTGATCTGATTATCAGTTCTGTTATTCTGTGTGTCTCTCTGTGTCTGTCTTTCTCCTCCTTTTCCCTTTGTACTGGGGATTGAACCCAGGACCTTTGCACTGAGCTACATCCCTAAGCCATTTTATTTATTTGTTTTTGAGACGGGGTATCACTAAGTCACTAAATTGTCCAGACTGGGCTCAAATTTGTGATTCCCCCTCCCTCAGCCTCTGGGAACACTGGGATTGGAGGCAAGTGCCACTAAGCTCAGCAATTCTGTATTCTGAAGTTGGAGATTCTAGTAGCAACTCACAGGATTATTGTAAATCAACATTCAGCATGTTCTTACATGTCTAAACTATTATCAATACATGCATATTGACATAATGCAGTGTCATTCCATAATAAAAGTTGAATGGTCCATGGTGCTGTAATATGTCCAAATGGGAACCCGAAGTGTAATGTGACAGAAACTTGATGTAGTTGTATGCTCTATAGTGTAGTAGTTGGCTGCAGGTTAGTGTTTGGTAAACAGGAGAGGTAATGTCACACCCTCTAAGCCTTGTGAGTCCATCTGGAGTATTGTGATCATCTCTAAGCACCATTTTATTTATTTTTTGTTTTGTTTCTAAGTAGCATTTTAACCACCCCCCCACCCCCGTACCTGCGATCGAACTCAGGTCTTTGTGCTTGCGCAGCAGGCAACAAAACCACTGAGCTAAATCCCTGGCCCCTCTAAGTAGCCTTTTAACAGAGATTAGTAAACCAACATATAATCAGAATAATAAGCTTGAAAATATGTCATTTTTTTTTTTTTGGTATTGGGGATAGAAGTCGGGTCCTTGCGCTTGCGCAGCAGGCAGCGAAACCACTGAGCTAAATCCCCAGCCAAAAAAAATATGTCATATTTGACAGTGGAAGAAATACCACTACCTAGTTTGAAAAAGAGAAAGCAATGATAAATCCCTCTAGTTAGTTTCAAATATTTATAGAAGATTATCACATAAGATTGGTCTAATTCACAGGAGTACCAATGGGCAAAACAAGGACCAGCAGGTATGAATTACAGGAAGAAATGTGTTTGATCTTGTGCAAGCATTTTCTAACAAAGCTGCCCACAAGTAGAATGGACTGACTTGTCAATTAAGAAGCTTTCTCTTAAATAAGTAAATTAATTAACTAATTCTGGCCAGGTATGTTTGGTGGTACATGCCTATAATCCTGAATACTCAGGAAACTATCTCAAAATAAAATTAAAAAGAGCTGGAGAAGCCAGGTGTGGTGGTGTATACCTGTAATCCCAACACTCGGGAGACTGAGGCAGGAGGATCACCATGAGTTTGAGGCCATTCCGGGCTACATAGTGAGTTTGAGGTTAGCCTGAACTACATAGCAAGACTTTGTCTCAAAAAAAGAGCTAGGGATGTAGCTCAGTCATAAAGCTCTTGCCTAGCATGAGCAAGGCACAAGGTTGGATTCCCCCCACCAAAAAAAAACCAAACAAAAAACAAAGACAAAACACAAAACCTGGGGCCGGGGATTTAGTTCAGTGGTTCCACCGCCTGCCTCGAAAGCACAAGGTCCCGAGTTGGATCCCTGGTACCAAAAAAAAAAAACCCCACAAAACCTGAAGCTGATGTAATTGTAATCTTGCCTCTTATTCATAACACAACAGGGAAGAAAGAACACGGAGCTGTGCCTGGTGGCACACATCTCTCATCCCAACTACTTGGGAAGCTGAGGTGAAAGATTGCAAATTTGAGGCTGCCTGGGCAACATAGTGAGACAGTATCAAAAAAAGAAGCAGCAGCAGTGGAACACATGCACTTCAGTACTAGGTATAGCTCAGTTTAAACCCAAGCTTGATAAGGCTTGATGATTTACTAGCTCTAATTGTCCTACACATATGAAGGCCTTTTAGAACATAATAGATGTTCAACAACTGTTAGTGTCCCCTGTCTCCCCCATGATATTAGACTAATTGATCTATTCAGTAAATCTCGTTGGGCTTCTAGGTGAAAGACAAATGTGAGTAAACTCATGCCCAGGTTGGTATGCTGCAAGTAAAACAACAGAAACAATAGAAGACTTCTTCTAGGAAATATAAGCTGGGTATGCTGTGCATACCCCAGTTCTGGGGAGGCTGAGGCAGGAGGATCATGAGTTTGAGGCTAGCTGGACAATACACCAAGACCTCTTCTCAAAAAAAGAAAAAAAGTTGTGTGGTAGTGCATGCCTATAGTCCCAGCACTCAGGGAGTAAAATAAAATTTTTGGCATGTTTTTCCATAAGGAAAAAAGAATATACTTTTAACTTGTGAAGTAAGTATGTACTGGAATAACATACTGGATAAAACTGCCTTCTATTACCACTAGGTGGCAGAAATGACAATTACATTAGTTTATAAAGATTTAGGTGATCATGTTTTAAAATAAAAATAAATAGATGTTTCTCAAGTATTTATATTCATTTGTTATTGTATTATGATTAAACATATAAAGTGTTAAATGTTGATTAATTTTGCTCTCATTTTTCAGTGCTAATGAAGGCACAGGACATTTTAAGGTATTTTACTTTTATTTTTTATTCATTTCATAAGAGGACCCTATAGCATAATGCAAATTTGAGTCTGACTTACAATAAAATGGAGGTTGTCTTCAATTATAGTAAAAAACATTTCACAAATAAATTATTTAAATATGAAGCACCTTCAGCAATGATCTGTCATAATAGGTTTCTGAGAAGAGGAATTATTAAGTAGGGATTTGTTATTCAGAACAGTAGCTTAAGGAAAAATAAGTGAATAATTTTTAAAACTGTAAAATCAAATGCTGTGTTAATTTGGTGATTAAAAACTTTCAAAGCTTTTTTTTTTTCCCGCATAGTTGACATTTAAATGTGAGCTTAAAATTTTATTTATATGTGACTTTTTTGGTTCAAGTTAACCTGCGCCACCTTGCTAGAGGTTTACTGATTTTAGAGGTGTGAACACATTTGTAACACGCTGAAACTCAGTTGTCTTTTCTCTGATTTTTTAAAATTTTTTGATACTGGGGATCGAACTCAGGACCTTGCGCTTGCGAGGCAGGTGACAGAACCACTGAGCTAAATCCCCGGCCCAAAGCTCAGTTGTCTCAAGGACTCCAAAGTCCCAGATGCTGTTGTATAGTGTTGCTGATGCAGTACGAGTCATTCAGGAAAAGGAAACTCCTGGGCATGGTGCAATCCCCGCACTTGGGAGGCTGAGCTGCAACTTCAAGGCCAGCCTGGAATATACAGTGAGACCCTTCTCAGAAAACAAAAGAAACTGAAAGAAAGAAAAGGAAAGGGGGGACCCCACCCCCACCCCTTCATACCAGGGATCAGACTCAGGACCTTGCACTTGTCAGGCAGGCGTGACACCACTGAGCTACATCCCCGGCCCTGGAAACTTCTTCAAAAGGGTAAAGCATGCCTTATAGTTACTTAGGACTGTAAATATATAAGGAACAGGTAACTGATTTGTTTTAGATTTTCAATGATTTTGTAAAAGTCTTTGCTAAAATTCAGGTGGGTTATTCCTTTTGGGTATCCTGTTTTGTTTTGTGAATGCACTAGATTAGAGATGTGAATGAAAGTATAGGAAAAGGCAAGCGCTTTTCTGGATATGCAGTATATGTGTCTTGTAGAGGTCAGTGTGCCTGAGGGAATGTAGCATTCAGTCCTTATGCTCTTTGGTAACTTTGAACCTCTGCATAGTTGTAAAATGTCAAACTAATGGTAATTCACTTTAGGAAATCATTCATTTCAGAAGCTTTTGTATCAGTGATGCAGTTCAGAACAAGGTAGGAAAGTGGCATAAGGGTTCTGTGTGGTATGAGCACAGCATTGTGTTTCTTAGTGTTCCCTGAGGCATCTGTGCAGAGACCCGTGGCATCCAGACACGCCAGCAGTTCTAACCCTCCTGCAGAAAGAGCTGGAAAACCAATGAAACAGTACTCCATTGCTCCATAAAGGCACATGTATACTTAGAATATTTATACAGTTCTGGTCCTTGCACATCGAAACATGATAAAAATACCACCTATGAGTTGATTTTGCCAAAACAAACATGAAGGGGATAATGCGTCTGCATTTAATTGCTAATTTCCGGGAAACACAGGGACAAAGGAACACAATAAATGACATGGAAGGAACATAGTGGGCTAAATCTAGATGGTGGAAACTATACAACAAAGGTTCCTGTTATTGTTATTGGTTCTGAGACAAGGTCTCACTATGTAGTGTAGGCTGGCTTTGAACTCACTGTAGCTTGGGCTGGCTTCAAGCTTGTGGAGGTTAGCCTCAGTTCCACCTGTGAGTTTGTGTGCCTCAGCTTCTTGATGCTGGGATTACAGGTGTGTGCTTCCACACACCCAGTTTAAGAGAAAGATAAAAAAAGGAATCTACAGATGAAACCTGCTGATTAAAATAGCCCAAGGGACATATAACTTAATTGTAATATATGAACTTTATTTTGGTTTGGTTTGAAAAGTAACCTGTAAAGATTTTTCTTTTGAGAAAATAGTCCTAAATTGGAAACAGTGTAAACATCCATAACTGATGAATGGAGAAACAAAGTGTGGTCTATCCATGCAAAGGAAAATTATTTGGTGGTAAAAGGAATAGTGCTCTGACACCTGCTACAACATAGATGAGTCCTGGAAACATGGTGCCGGGTGAAAAGCCAGGCACAAAGGTGCGTCTGTTGTCATCTTCCATTTAGGTCAGATGTCTAGAACAGGGGACTGTAGATACAGAAAGCAGAGTAAGAGGTTGCCAGAGTCCGATGGGGGAGATGAAATGGAGAGCAACTGTTAATTTAGATGAATTTCTTTTGGGATTATGAAGATGTTCTGAAATTAGGGATGATGGCTGTGCAACTTTGTAAATATACCAAAATCCATCAAAGTGTACACTTAAAGGGTAAATGTAATGGCATATGAACTACATTTTTAAGCTATTTTAAAAAAATAACTAAACCAAATTTAGTAGACACTTTGAACAGAAGAATTATTTATAATTTGCTATAAACATTTTGAGAATATTAAAATATATCTGGCCAGGTATGGTGGCACATGCCTATAATCCCAGCCCTTGGAAGGCTGAGACAGGAGGATCACTGAGAGGTTGAGGCCAGCCTGGACTGCATGGCAAAACCCTGTCTCAGGAAAAAAAAACCCAAAGACCAAAAAAAAGGATGTTTAGGTGGGCATGATGGTGCACACCTGTAATCCTAGAACTCCCACTTGGGAGGCTGAGGCAGGAGAATCGCTGTAAATCTGAACTACATAGTTTCAATAAACCAACTCATCAACCAACCAACTAAATAGGGTATTAGAACAAAAATTTAAATATGGACTTGTTTAGACAGTTGGACTGCATTAATGTCAGATTTCCTGAATACTTGCATAAGTTTTCTGATAACTGCGTTGCAGTTACAGGAGGGCCATCTCTTGTTCTCAGAAGATAACTGCCAACATGTTTAGGGCAAAATATTTTGGTGTCTGCAGATAACTCTCAAATGGTCCAAGAAAGAATGCACAGTCACCTAGGAAGACATAAAGCAAATCTAGTAGTCATATATCAGAAGTTGGTAAACTAAGTGAAGAATATTGGAATGTTAATATAAACTATTCTTACAACTTTGTTGTAAGTCTGTGCCTTTCAAAAAGTTGAAGGTAGGGCCAGGGATTTAGCTCAGTGGTTCTGGCGCTTGCCTTGAAAGCGCAAGGTCCCGAGTTTGATCCCCGGTACCAAAAAAAAAAAAAGTTGAAGGTGAGGAGTGAACTGACCACTTCTTATCAAATATCTAGAGCTAGGCACAACCCTATACACTTGTCCTATTTGTTTGGAGGCTGAGGCGGGAGCATTGGTTGTGCTGGGAGTTCAAGACCAGCATGAGCAATATAGTGAGACCCTATCTCAAAATCTGGTCAGTGTTCAAGTATTTGTCTCAATCATAGTTTGTTTGTTTGTTTTTTGGTTTTTGGAGACAGGGTCTTGCTTTGTAGTTCAGGCTGGCCTTGAACTCAGTATGTAGCCCAAGCTAGCCTTGAACTCACAGCGATCCTCCTGCCTCTGCCTCCCCAGTGCTGGGATTACAGGTGTGCGCCACCACCCCCTGCTATAGTATGATTTTTTAAAAAACACTTTGTCAGGATCTGAACAAAGTTCTGTTTTCTTTTTTTTTTTGGTACAGGAGATCGAACTCAGGACCTTGAGCTTTTGAGGCAGGCGGTGGAACCACTGAGCTAAATCCCCAGACCCCGTTTTTTTTTCTTGCAATTTATTGTATTGATGAGACAGGCTTGCATTAGGGGAGCAGAAATATGCGACGTGTCGTGTCTCCCGCCATCTGGAGGGGCAGAGGGCTTCTAACATTAGCAGCTGCTCAGGCTCCTGTTGGAAGTGCATTGATATTCTAGGAGTTGAAGCTGGTGCTATCTTTCCATGTCTTAATTAGTTGGAATAGTTCTATAAGGTGGAGAAACTTTCTTTTGTCTGTTTGGTTACTCATTGGTACAGTTCATATAGGAAAGACAGGCTAAATGCTTGATTCTTATGTTCCAAAGTCAAAATAATGAGTTAACTCACCGGCTAACTCCAGTCATGGCCAATTAATTTTTTTTTTCAGTCAGGGTCTCCCTTTGTAGTTCAGGCTGGCCCTGAACTCACTAAGTAGCCCAGGCTGGATGGCCAATTAATTTTAGTTGTTTTTATTTTTACTTTATTATAAACTCAAGGATTTAAGCATAGCTGTGATGCAGTCCATTTCAGTCATTACCCTTTTGTGTTTTATGTGGCAGGAAAGATTGCTGTACTTAATTTCAGATAGCTGGAATCTGGAATTTTATTTCTGTTTATTTGCAAATAGGAAGCTATTAAGTGTCGGGTGTCGGGGGAAGAAGCAAATTATCTCCTGAAGAAGCTGTGTGAATTATAGAGGGGGAAGCCCCTTTTCACTTGTGAGCATGGAATAATGTGAGTTGCCAGTTTTTATCTTTCAGATACTGGCTTATCTCATAATTCTAAGAACTTCAGTGTTGATAATTTTAGCTAAATTAAGTTTATCAAATACTTGGTGTAAGGAGGCCACCAGGAATTTAGAAACTGGGACTAGATTGTCCTCTGCTGGTATACCTGAAGCCTGCTGTTAAGATGGTAAGCCCAGAATCTGACCTTCAGAAATGTATTGGTTGACAGGAAGGCATCCAGTTAAACTGTCTGGGTGCAGCTTCTTAGGAATTCAGATGGGATTCTCATTCTAATCAGGCTGTGCTGTTTGTGGTGAGGTACCTTTCGGGACCACTCTACTGGGGTACTGCATTATCTCCTCTTCAGTGAGATTGCCTGCATTCAGAGAACATGAGAACTGCCAGGCTCCTTGTGGCACCTATATCCCAGCACTCTGGGAGGCTGAGGCAGGAGGATCACAAGTTCAAGCCTAACCTGGACAATTTTGCGACTTAGGAAGACCCTGTCTCAAAGGGGGATGTAGCTCAGTGGGAAGGTACTGGATTCGAATCCCAGTATTTTTGTACCTT